GGTGGCAGAGGGTGAGGGGGGAGACTGTCAGAGGGTGAGGGGGTGAGGTTGATGGGGACAGGTTGGCAGAGGGAAGGGGGGGGAGATGGCAGAGTGTGGGAAATGAAGACAGGTTGACCACCTAATCCATCTCCATAGCAGCACCATCGTGCATTCACCCCAACTCTTACAAACATCTTTATCTGGTGCCGAAGGCCGTTCGGCCTTCCAAGTCTGCTCCCCCATTCAACGAGATCCTGGCTGATCTGATAATCCTCAACTCTACTTTCCAGCCTTTTCCCCAATAACCCCCAATCCCTTTCCTGATAAACAACCTGCCTCGCTCAGCCTTGAATACACTGAAGCCTTGACAGCCTCTGTGCTAAATAATTCCACACATTCACTCCCCTCTGAGAGGAGAAGTTCCTCTCCACCTCTGTCCTTAACGGGCAACTCCCTATTCTGAGATTACACCCTCTGGGCCTACACTCTCCCACAAAGGGGAAACAATCCCTCCGCATTTACCCTGTCAAGTCCCCTAAGAATCTTTTATGTTTCAATAAGTCGCCTCTCATTCTTCTAAACTCCAATGTATACAGGCCCAATCTACTCAACCTCTCCTCATAAGATAGTCCCTCTAAACCCGGTATCCCCGTAGTGAACCTTCTGTGGACTGCCTCTAATGCCAGGATATCTTCCCTTAGATAGGGGACCTGAAACTGCTCACTGTATTCCAGCTGTGGGCTGACTAGTGCCTTGTGTAGAATAAATTATGAAAGGTTCTGCTGTTGTTAGCTCCAACCTTGACTATTCCAACACACTGTAGAATGGAGAGGCTGAGGGGTTCGAGGACATAATTTGAAATTTGTGTCACAGGTAGATGGGATGGTTAAGAAGGTGTTTAGCATGCTTGCCTTCATTGCTCAGACCTTTGAGTATAGGTGTTGGGACATCATATTGAGTTTGTGCAGGATGTTGGTGAGGCCTTTTCTGGAATACCGTGTGGTTCTGGTTGCCCTGTTATAGGAAGGATATTATTAAACTGGGACTGGGTCTCTTTTCGTTGGAGTGTGGGAAGTTGAGAGGTGGCCTTATAGAAATTTATAAAATCATGCAGGGTATAGATAGGGTTAATGGTCATTGTCTTTTCCCTAGGATGGGGGATTTCAAGACTAGGGGGCACATTTTTTTAAGGTGAGAGGAGAAAGAGACTTAAAAAAGATGTGAGGGGCAAATTTTTTACAGAGAGGGTGGTTTGTGTGTGGAATGAACTTCCGGAAGAAACGGTGGATGCAGGTATAGTTACAATGTTTAAAAGACATTTGGGTAAGTTCATGAATAGGAAAGGTTCGGAGGGATATGGGCCAGGAACAGGCAGGTGGGACTAGTTTAGTTTGGGAACATGGTCAGCATGGACTGGATGGACCGAAGGGTCTGTTTCCATGCTCTATGACTATGACTTTCACCTTGGGCTGCCTTCTCCTGCAGCCCCACCTTGCTGCATTACCCTCCCTTCCCCCCCTCACCTCCCTTCCCCATCTCTCCCCTCTACCCCCTGCACCCCCAGTCTCTCTCCTCTCCTCCCTCCCTTCCATCTGCTACCTTTCCCTCCCCTCTCCCTCCCATCCTCCCCCCCTCCCCATCACCCCTCCTT